CGATGGGTCTCTCTTGTGCATGCAAGCTACTCATAGTCCTCGTGGTTACTGCTTACGTCTTCTCCGGGACTGCGGAAGCATGGAGTTGGAGTCTGGCTTCCGTCAACTCTAGAAGCGGTTCTTCTGGTTCGAGATCAGATCCGCACTCGGGCTCAAACCACTCTAGCGGTAATGGCTCTACACACAAGAGTCACAAATCGGGCTCAAACCACTCAACTAGCCATGGCCACCACAACCACACGGCTCCATCAAAACATTCAAGCCACCAGACGGCTCCACTAAACCATTCAAGCGGCACTGGCTCTACTAGCAACAGCCACCACCACAAACACACGGCTCCGTTATCACCTCGAAGAAACATTGTGGTTACAGTTTGGAAGAAGGGATTCAAATACCAAGAATGGGTTGCAAAGAATTCTCCTTTCTACATCAACGACGTTCTTGTTTTCAAGTACAACAGCAACAACAAGGAGAACAATGTTTACTTGCTCCAAGATTTAAGGAGCTACGTGAGATGCGATGTGAAGAAAGGAAAGAAGCTAGTCGCAAGAGGAGGCTCATCAGGAGGGTTCAAGTTGCTTCTCCAAAGGACGCAGACTTATTACTTCGCCAGGCTGCAACCACACCAAGATGCAGTTCGCCCTCAACCTATGGTCAAGACCATAATAACTCCAAATTCTTTAAACTTTCTAAACTTGTATTTTTCTTTTAAACTTTGAATTATTTGTTACTATTTCAGATCTGTATGCTCCCTTTTGTTTGTTTCTTCTTGTTTAATGCAAATATGGTTTTTGTATTTATTTCAGTGTCCTTTTTAGGATCACGCTGATAACGAAATATCTTCAACATATCAAAGTTTCGATATTAGGTTTCTGATTTGTACCTTAGACAATATTTTCTTTTTTTTGTTAAAGTCCTAATTTTATGTTTTTATACTATAACATACACTACAAAAATAACGCCCGAAGACGTCGGTTAATTGACGACACTTGTTTAACCGACTTTAAATTTTATGATCGGAAGCGAATTGGCATCGGTTAATAAACCGACTTAAAATCTTAATTATCAAAACTGGTTTAGGAATCAAATAAATAACTTTTAAATGGGTATATTTTAGGTTTGTGCGAGTTATCGTCTCCGACGAATTCCAATTTGTTCATTTTTCTCAAACCCTAAATTATGGGAACTCATCTAATTCTCTCGTCACTTTCTGGAGATTCCATTGAAATCGGTTGATTTTTCCACCATCTCGTCTCTTCGTGCCGATTCGAAGTCGTAAGCATATCTCAATTTGATATAGTGGTTTGTTTTCTGTCTCAAATGCTTCTCTTCTTAAATCTCAAATTATGAGTTCGATAAGGTTTGTATAGTTGAATTTTTTGAGAATTTTGCTTTGATACTGATTGAAAACTTGATCCTGACAACGGATCTGAATTTCGTTTCAGGATAAACGATGGATTCTTAGAATTTTTGGGTAGAACCTTTTACGTCAATCTCAGATTTTAGAATTTGAGCTTAAGGTAATTTTTGATCGGATTAAAATCTTTCTCGAACTATCTCTTTGTGATTTTTGAACAAATTTATGTCTCGATCTCGTTATTTATTTAAATAAATTCCCAAAGAACATTTTGTTTTGGTTTCTGGAGGCTTTTGAATCTGTGATTGGAAAGCTGATGTTGAAAACAATTTGTATGGAATTTTTGATCGGATTTATTTTTAGAGTTAACCTTTGTTTGATCGGATACAGGGGAACTGGTAATTCAGTGGAAGATGTATTAAAGGCAACATTGGAGTACTTGCAGGTTATCTTACTCGCTTCTTTTATTTTGTGTTCGGGTCATAGTTTAAATATATGTATAGTGAGTCTACTAAAGAAGGTACTAATCATGAGGTTTTATGTGGTTTTTTAACACGTAGTGGATCATGCCAATGTCATATATTTTCTTTTAAATCTGAGAATGTAAACATTAGAAAGAAACAATTGATGCAAATCAGGATAATCCAAATGTCTCATGTTTCTCAGAGAATCGGGCAACTGCTTTGAAGACCTTGAGAACTAAGCCTATGGTAAGTGTTTCAGCTAGAAGATAGAGGAGTCAACCGAGTCCAAGGGGAACTTATTATTGCATCTGGGATGAAATCAGATAATCCTAGAGGAAAGCATAATGCTTAAGGTTAGTTTTGTGTTTTGTTAAGTAGTTCAATTGTTTATGAGTCCATTCCAAAGTGAATTATAATATCGAAAACAGAACACCAAGGAATGAGTCTATAATAAAGTGAAGCATATCTACAAGTTTGTTCAACAATGTATATAACAGGAAACACAATATTATTTTTACAGCTGAATGAAACTTGTGGAGATATTAACCATCTTTCATATCTATGAGCAGTTACAAATTTAGTCTATACATAAAAATTATGCTTTATTTCATTTTGGATAGGTACTGTGATATTCTATTATATTTAAAAGTTAAATAATTTTGTGATTTCTTTATAATTTCAGGCTAACTTCAAAAGTATTGGTTTAGTTTTTGGAGAGTAATGTGGCAATATAGGCAATATTGTGAATTATACATGATATTTTGTTTATATATTTGAAAACAGTTACTTTCTTTGTAAAAGCATGTTGATTTTTATGAATGAAATGATTATATGGACTCAGCTTTTTAAACTTATATTGAATCACAATTTTTTTTTKTTTTCTATTACGTTTAATAAATAATAAAAATTTAAATAGAGAAAAGTATTGCATTTTTGGGTCGGTTGTATAATTGACTTAAAGATTGAGTTTTAAAGTCAAAAATATAATTGACAGTAAATCAAAAGAAACCGACGTTACAATTTTGACGTTAAATTTGGCGTCACTTACGCAAGTGAAGCTAAAAATGCTGGCGTCGGACGATGGTACGTCGTTTTAATAAGTGACGTTAATATTTTAGAGAAATTAAAAAATGCCATTTTTCAAATGTCATTTTACAAAAATACTACTTTATAAAAATGCCACATTTTTGAAATCTTTACAAAGATACTACTTTTTCAAAATTATTTTTTCTTTATATTATTTATGTTTGGGTTAATTATGTTCTATTAGAGTTTAGTTTTGAGTGTTTAGGGGGTTTTAGGTGTCAAAACATT